CCAGACTCTTATTAGAGGGTCACTAGGCTTTTCAAGCCTGTTTATTGGCTGTAAAGCCCATTCTACATTGGTCGTATCGTAGCATCGTAAGCGTCGTGAGACTTCTAATTGACACATCGGATTGGCTGTTGCAACAAATTTGTGACCTGCGACGTCTACGATACGACCAATATAGAATGGGCTTAAAACTTCCTATTAAAACTGTTTGAAACCGATGAAATCCGATAAAAATTTAATGGGAATAAATCAGTCCAATCGGAACAGAAAATTCTATCTATTGAAAACAAATAAGAATTAATAGGATTTCTATCAGGCACTACTTTTATTAAGAATTAACATGCTATTTTCCTAGTACAAGTGTGGTGAACCAATCGGATTCAATCGGCTCAAGTATTAACGTTAAATTTAATAAGAATTAATCGGCAAAGCACATACTTTGTTCAGTAACATTCAATCAGAGAATCAATAGGATATTTAGCCTTTACGAGTTGAATCGGATTTAGCCTTCTTTCTGACGATAACTGACTAATCAGATTTAATTGGTAAAACTTTTTAATCGAGGTTAATGAGATTCAGGGCCAATTTTACCAACGTCGGTTAAGCTAACCGACGTTAATTCCAATGGAATTATCCAATCGCATTTGTCTTTGACCAGAATGAACCAATCACGGTTGACACTTTAACCGTCGGTTAGCTTAGGCTACGTTCCGTTTCAGGCATATGCGCGCATTTTATATAGTGAGCGTCACGTATACTATATGGGAATGCGCGCATATGCGTGAAACGGAACGCAACCTTAACCGACGTTGGTGAAATTGGCCCTTAGGCCCGATTTTTCATTATTTGGTTAACTTGTGGTTAAACTAAACCTGATGTTTTATCCAATGGGCTTCATCTATTGTGATGTCATGGATAAAGCTCATTGGATGAAACATCAGGTTAAGCTTAACCACAAGTTAACCAGATAATGAAAAATCGGGCCTCAATCTGTCTTCCTACAATACATGTTTTATAGGTTTTGTTCAGTAACGCTCTTCTGCCACTATATGTTAATCATTAAAATGAAAAGGTCAAGCCATGTTCAAAAATAGATCCTCGCAAATTAAAAAACCCAACAAATTTAAACCTTTGAAAACTAACCGCAAAAATTTGATCCTTCCTAAATTAAAACGATTATCTAATATAATATATGATGACCACGAAAAGTAACTGATATATTACTAAATGTGCCAGTTCAAAGTGAACGTACATATAACGAATATTTTCTATGTTGAATATGTACCACGAAAAGGAACTGATAATATGTTTTAATTGATTATAATGGATTTTGATCGGTTTTTTTTACGATAAATGGTTAATCAGATTTAATCGGCGATGCATTTCTGTTAGAATTATGCCTATTTCTACCAATGCAGATTAACTTTAATCTCGGTTCAATTTGTTCTTCGTTTCAATTTTTTCTAGTTCTAAAAATTAGAAAATGTTGAACAATAAGTTAAACCGAGATTAAAGTTAATCTGCATTGGTGGAAACAGATATTAGTGAGATTATATCGGTTACTTACGATACCTGTTGAATCAGATTTATAGCGTTTTCCACTGGGAAAACTGGTGCAGCACTAGCGCCGTGCTACCCAATCAGCATACCATATTTAAAAAATATTTCTTAAATATGGTATGCTGATTGGGTAGCACGGTACTAGTGCTGCACCAGTTTTCCCAGTGGAAAACGCTATTAATCGGCGACGCAGTTCAATCGGAATTATGCCCATTTCCACCAATGCAGATTAATTTTAATCTTGGTTCAATTTGCTTTTCATCTTTTTCTAATTCTAAAAATTAGAAAAAGATTAACAGTAAGTTAAACCGAGATTAAAGTTAATCTGCATTGGTGGAAACAGGCATTAGTGAGATTCTATTGCTGGATTCACACTGCATCCGAATTCGTCGTACGACGACTCCGCAACCAATCAGGAAACAAAATTTTGCTTCGTATCGATGATACGATTTTTCTGATTGGTTGCAGAGTTGTCGTACAACGAAAATCGGATGCAGTGTGAATCCAGCATATCGATTCTATCACACTATGAAGTTAATAAGTTTCAATTGGTAAATTCGTCTAACGCCGTATAATGGGATTTTGTTGATTTCTTACGATGTATGCTTAAGGTAATGCTGCATACGGAAAAAAACTATTGGTAAATGGTGAAATGGCCAATAGTAATTTGGCCAATAGTTAGTATTGTTGGTGAATAGTTACTATTGATCATTAGTTACTGTTGGCCAATAGTTACTATTGGTCAATAGTCCCTCGTGAAAAAGGTCAGTTTTCTCTAATTACTGTTAGATTGTTAAATAAGTATTACTAATTAGCATCAATTTTAGAATAAAATCGTGAAAAAAAATTTTCCTTGAGAAAAATTATCCTAAATTCGACAATTAATTTTTTTTCATGATATTTTCCAAACGGTCATCCATCCGAAGTTGTACCACGAACCTCGCTGCTTAACCTTGTTCGGGAACTGTATCGTACGGGAACTGCTGTACTTCGATGACCCACGAATCTGTATATGTCAACGTCTATATAATTGTGATATATCTGTTCAATGGAAATATTAAAAACAGATGGTTTATGTGTTTATATGATAGTGTATGATTAGTGTATATATTATTTCCGCAAGTGTAATGCGCATGACGTATCATTTTTTATCTTTGTTTTTCATCGAATATTAAAAGGATATAATGATACATCAAATAATAATGCACAAATAATAACAAATAATTGATTAAAATCGATTTCTTTATTCAAATTTGTATAAAAATTATTTCCGCAAGTGCAGAAATGTATTAGGCGAATAGTTACTATTGGATCCAATATTATTCAAACTATTGGCACAGTATATACAGTAGCGCAACTCTCCCGATTTTATGTTGTCTAAAATGGAGTGTGCATGCGCGAAATAGGCGAAGTACTAGACTGTGCTCTTTCTCTTTTCATCCTTCTTTCGCTCTGTCAAAACGCACTAGATTAACCTAGATTTATTTGCGTCACACTCCAATGAATGCATTGAAGTGAGTAAGAACTATTGTAGGAGCATGTTGGAGAATGAGACACGAATAAATGTACTAATGCAATAAAATAATCTAAACTTAATGGAAATTAATACAAATAAATTGTAAATATATTGGTAAATAAAGAAATAAATGTAAAATAATTAAGAAAAATATTAAATTATCTGAAAAATATATATTTATGTAGAGAAATATTATATAATTGTAAATTTGTAAATATATGCTATGTATATACATATTATCAGAAAGTTGATATAAAAAAAAATTTATAATATATATTATATATTATATATATAATGTGTGTGCAAAAAAATAAATATAA